GATTCCAATTCCTTTTTGTTCTTGTGGAGATAGGTTTGGATTAATGCGTTGAATTTCTTTTGGAGAATAGGCTGGGAGATAGCCTCAGGATGGTGGTTACCACTGAACCACGCAACTTCTGTAGTTTGAACTGAGTTCATAATAGCAGTATGTCGAACAATCCAGATGCGTTGCTCCTGGAGAGTGTCCATCAGAGAGCGTTTGAAGTTCCAAATAACTCTGTCAGTCGAATCAGGTGTCAGTGGGCGTTGAAGCCATAGGGTGAGGCGCACCTGGTGGTTGGTGGAGCTGATAGAGTATTCAAAGTCTTGTTTCATTTTATTAATGGAACAGGGATTAGCGTAGGAAGCTGCAACCAGATGAGTGGTGCGGCCACTCCCTACGAGTGTGAATGGAGACAGGAGAGATTCATTTGCCGTTAACAAGGTATGCAAGGTCTTTGCAAGAGGATGAGCAATTGGTTGGGTTTGGGAAGGCTCCTGAGTGATCGTTGGAGTGTCAATACCTTGGGGAAGCTCACCAGCAGGCAGCTTCCAAGCTATGCATAATGGAATCAAGGTATGAGGTTGAATTCCAGGACGGGGAGAATCATACATGAATCGTGTTTCATTGTTTAGGGGACCAGTATGTTGGAGGGGTTGTCGTTCATCYGGGATGGTAGGGTTCTTGGCCAGGGATGCAAGCTTCGGAGCAGCAGATGGTTTCGTAGAACTGGAGGGACTGGGACTACGAGTGAGACTAGCAACAGTAGTGCTAGCTGCCGTAGTAGGTGTAGTAGTAGACGCAGTACTGGAGAAGGTGACAGCTTTGGGTGTGCATTGTTTAGATCAAGTGATGGCAGCAGAAGAACGTTTACTTCTGTTAGAAGTAACCGTGATCCAATCAGAGTCATCTGCAGGGGGCATGTTGTGATCCATAGTAGGTGATGCAGTAGAAGAGTCAGTAGAAAGTAATTGGTCTGTGTTGGACAAGTTATTTGTTTGGGCATTTGTGTGGAGGCTAAGCTCAGTACTGTTTGCTGTAGAAGTTGCTGTAGAAAAAATAGAGGTTTTATTCCTTTTCATTTCAAATTGGGAATGAAAAGGACTTTTTCTCACATTTTCCCTCTCBGTACTGTTCACTGTAGAAATCTCTGTAGGATGAGATCGTGATTTCATTCCAGATTTGGAATGAAAAGGAGATCTCATTTCAGTACCGGTGGTCGTTGTATGTAGCTCCTCTGAATACCCTTCCGCCCGCTYGTCTGTAGAATCAGTACCAGAAACAAGGAYAGAAGAGGGGGTTGAAGTAGAAACAGCATGTGAATCGTTATTTAWTAGGGTCTTTGGGGTTAAAGACTGCATATTTAGGGACGGATCTTGGGTGTTTAACCCTTGGGCATGCTTAGAAACAGAAAAACTGCCCTTTGGGCCAGGGATATGCTCCTGGGGGGGATTTTAGGCCGGATGACTCAGGGGCAATCATAGGAGGGGTCTTTGCTGTGTCTTCAATGGACATTGCTGCTGGGTTCTCTGCAGGGGGCATGTCTTCATCTGGCATAATTGGCTTATGGGGGTCATTGGGAGAGTCATTCTTCAGGGACTGAGACTTAAGGGGGTCATTTGCTGGTGGGTTCTCTAAATTGGGCGCTTGTAGAGTACACTTAAGGGAATGGTTCTTTGGGCCCAATGATATTTTGGATTTATCAAAAGGGACTAGAGCTTCACTTAATGCTTTCACTTTGGATTTATCACTGACTAAGGGATCACTKAAGGCRCTCATCTTGGTAGCTGGTGGAACAACCAGGGCCGGTTCCATGTAAGTATCTAAAGTGTCCTCTGTGGTGAATTTCTTTTTCTTTTTCTTTTGTTTGATGCTTTCCTGGCTATCCTTGCTGTCRGAATGGGGAAAGGAGCCGTCGGAGCYCTGGGACTGGGTCTGAGTGGTGCTGRGGGTCCATTMTGTTTCTTATGTGGAGGATGGGGCCTCAGTGGAGGCTGGGGGGTCTRTTTCTGCATTTGCTGGAGGGATCGATTCATCCAGGGGCATGGATTCATCCTCTTCCGGGGGCATCAATTCATCCTCTTCYGACAGCATYRATTCACTGTCTGCTTCCTCAGCCGGGGGCATGGATTCGGTCCTTACTGGTTGGATCCGGAGGGTCCTTGTTACCCTTTGGGGTGGGCCCGGTCATGGTTCCTGGTAGTTGGAAGGTGCGAGTCTGGGTTGGCTTGTGTAGAATGTAGTACTAATTCTAGGTATAATTTTCAAGTGAGAATCGTATCTTGGTGCGAAGATGAAACACAGCTGCGTTTGAAAAATTTCRATTTGAAAATTRTGGGACCAGACCTACTTATAGGTTCTGGTCTAAACCCTATATATTACATATAMTACTACATGTTACATAGATCATCAAGAATTCTGATTCATTGATGACATCACCTTCTAACAGAATCAGAATCAGAACAGAACTAATGAGTTACCACGTCAACAATGAGTTCTGTCCTGAAGYCCCTTAGTACAATCCGTACTAAGATCTACAGGGGACCAGGACTATGGAAACTAGTTCCTGATTGACTACAWCACAGGGAACCATGTAAGATGAGATCTACTAGACCTATATCTATGATAATTCATTATAATTCACCTTTAACATCATTCTAATTCATCAGTACACATTATTTCATGCAGATGACTTGGACAAGCAAGCTCCATGGATTGGTGACCGCTCACTAGATTGAGTTGCTCCAGACACTTGAGCTTATGCTGGGGCATCCTGGAACCCTAATGAATGGATTAAGATATTTAGCAATGATCCATTTCAAGTTCCATCTAATTGGTCAAAATGATGATACTGCTCATGAAGGGAAAAGCAGCTTGGAAATATCTTCTGAATTCCCAAGGTTCCTCACAGCAAAGATAAAATGGTCTAAAAATGTAMGGAGAGACGAGGAACATGATTGCCCAAGGCAGATATTGCTTGGATCARTGGACCACTGGTCTTGTGTGGTGCCTAGTCTTACTCTGATCAGGTGCCCCAAGTCAATGACTCTTCACTGAAGGAACTACTGGTAGAAGATCTACTGTAGTTGGCAGTGTGSTTGGCACTCATTTCCTTTATCTCTGCAGTGTGACTTGCCTTATGGCTTGGCAGTGTCCTTCAAAATGATAATGGCATGGTTCTCATCCATCCAAACTGTGATCCAACTCCTTTTATGTCCTCTGAATCCAGCCTGAGACCTTCATTGGCCTGTCAGTGTGCATGAAACTTGGTTGCACCTCMACAAACTCTCCTTGGAGGGAGGTGCCACMCCTTGGAGCAGCTGGTTGTGGCCATAGAGTGCCTCTTCTAGCTCATAGTAAGGTTAAATATGTATTAAGATTTTTTCATTACCTACTAGTTGTTGGGCACATGTACACCAATACTGAGTCAGTTTATTAGGTGTTCTTTTTTGTCTTTCTTTTTTCTTTGGCTTTTTGATTTTTTTTTATGACTACTCCACCACCTTTATCCTTGTACACTGGGGGTGATCTTGTCTTTATTGGCTTGACAATGTGCTTGGGACTTGTTTCCTTGTTCACTGTAGAGGGACCTACCTTTTTTCTTGCCAGTGCACTTTAAACTGATTGTGGTATGGCTCTCATCCATCTAAACTGTGAACCAAGAACTCTTTTTATGCCATCTGAGTCCASCAGTGACCTGCCTTGATTGGCCTGTAAGTATTTGTAGAAGCTGGTTGCTCCTCCTCCACGAACACTCCTCAGAGGGGGGCACCAAYGCTTTGAGTAGCTAGGAGAATTCTTCTCCCTAGTCAGGATAGGTAATTGCTCTGGCCAGCATAGTGCCTCTTCTAGTTCACCACCATGTTAAACATAATTCTAGTAATGAATGGTTGGATGCTGAACGAAAACAACTTGGCCAATTCCATGATRACCTAGAGATTTCTTCAGTAAACAATCTGCGCTAATCATACTTGAATCATTGGTGGCAAGTGGCATTGCAATAAAGGAATATGCRTTTCTTTTGGAAGTTGCAATTTTCTGCCAATAATGTCATATATCTCATTCTTTGCTATTCAGATTTTTTAACTACTACTAGTGCTAGTACTACTACTATACACATGATACTCTGATGAAAATTCAAAGCAACCCAGATATAACAGAGGTCAAGAACTATGATAATTGAGGGTCATTTAGCATGCAATTTTCTCATTTGTGTTACATTGTACTTCGTAACAGTTTTACAAGCTGGGGCATGTCGTGGTGGTGTGAAGCATTCCACATTCCTTGTTGTTGAAGACTGGAAGCATGGTGCAGAAGGTCTATAATCATTTAAGTTTGGATTAAGAAGACTGATTTAAAGTAGAGGTTTCACTAGATGCTGAGATGACTGTCTAGATTAAAGGGAATTATCCAATGAACTTGCCAACAAGTATGGGACCCCTGACGTATCATACCCACTGTACATATATGTAGTACGTATAAAGTACGTACACCCATTATTTGTCAAAGATTTTTTCAATCAATTCATCAATTCGTTACAAATTCCCGTGATCCCAATTTATTTCTTCATCTGTCCCTAATTCAACTTTGTATTCGTACCATRATTTAATGGCAACTCTGCTCTTACGTATCGTAGACTGCCTGCATACCTACCGCATGCATACAGGAACGTACAACATGATCGCGTTGCTCAGTAGTACCGTAGTACCGTACGGTGAGTACGAATTGTAAGACTACGTTACAGTAGTAGATCAAAAATCAACATTACAGTAGTAGTGACGTGTTATTTTATGCGGTGATGCTTTCCATCCCGTGATATATCGTACATCACTCTCGATCTGTTGATGACGTCCATGATCATTGGGAACAGAGAGAAAAGCAATTCGAAATCAATGCTGTGCGTATTTTCAGTACGAGTAGTACCGTACTCGTAGCCAAATTCATCAACGAAGAGTTACAATTAAAAAGGAAAATAAAGCTGACATTCCGCAAGGCTGTGTGGTCTCACAACGTAAGATAATACTCGAATTCCACTACTTCTACTACAATGAACATTGCTCTCTCACTGAGATCAGTAACTTTGGTGTCTACCGTCGCACTAGCGACGGCATTCGCCCCTCTCGGGAATCTCAAAGCTCCATCCTCYTCTTCTAGCCACTCGTCTTCTCTCTTTGCCGTCGACGGTGAATATGACTTCGACGTTGCCATCATCGGTTGTGGTGTGGGAGGACATGGTGCTGCCCTTCACAGCCGTGCACAGGGTTTGTCTACGGCAGTCTTCGCCGGTGGCGATGTCGGTGGCACGTGTGTCAACCGTGGTTGTGTCCCAAGCAAGGCTCTTCTGGCAGCATCTGGCCGAGTCCGGGAAATGCAGGATGCCGAACACCTGAAAAGTCTAGGAATTGAAGTGGGAGACGTAAATTACTCTCGCGAGGGCATCGCTGCCCACGCCAAGAATCTGGCGAATCGTGTTAAAGGAAATCTAGAAAATTCGTTGGTTGCATTGGGTTGTGATGTAATTGAAGGTCGAGGAATGTTGACTACCAACGCACAAGAAGTTAAGGACGAAGCGACAGGAAAAGTTTACAAGTGCAAGGTGAGATAGCTTTTTCTTTTCTGGAGGAGCCGAGTAGAGCGGTTATTTGGTTTATCATAATCTGTGTGTGGTGAACTAAAAAATGAATTGGATTCTTGTTCTCTCGGAATCGTTTCTGAATTACATCGAYGAGATATTTTTTGTCATTCCAACGTATTGAAGATTAAACAATTTGTCCATATTTTCAACCCTAACCTCTGATCCTTTACTGTAAATTTCCCATGTACTTTAATAAACCCTTAGGACATTATCCTGGCACCAGGATCGATTCCTTTTGTCCCACCCGGTGTTACTGTGGATGAGAAAACCGTCTACACCTCTGATGGTGCGCTGGAGCTGGGATTCGTCCCTGAGTGGGTTGCTATTATTGGTTCGGGCTATATTGGCCTCGAATTCAGCGACGTCTACACTGCCCTTGGATCCGAAGTTACCTTTATTGAGGCCATGGACAAACTCATGCCAACTTTCGATAGAGAAATTGCCAAACAAGCAGAACGCTTGTTGATTCGGGATCGACCGATTGATTACCGAACTGGTGTTTTTGCCTCTGAAGTTACTCCMGGAATTCCCGGTGAAAAACCCGTTACTATCAAAATGATTGACGCCAAGACTAAAGAGCACGTTGAGACGATTGAGGTAGACGCCGCTATGGTGGCTACTGGACGGGTCCCTAACACGGCGAATATGGGATTGGAAGATCGGGGCATTGAGACGAATCGTGGATTTGTCAACGTGAACGAGAAGATGCAAGTGCTCGCTGGACCGGATTCTGAAGAAGTCATCCCCAACTTGTACTGCATTGGTGATGCTAACGGCAAGATGATGTTAGCTCACGCTGCTAGTGCTCATGGTATCAGCGCCATCGAGAACATTTGTGACCGCCCCCACGAGGTTGATCACAATGCAATCCCAGCTGCGTGTTTTACGCATCCCGAAATTTCGATGGTTGGTCCGACTGAAGAGCAAGCGATCGAGCTCGCCGAGAAGGAGGGATGGACGCTGGGTAAGTCTCAGGGCAGTTTCCGAGCTAACAGCAAGGCGTTGGCTGAAGGAGAAGGTAATGGTATGGCAAAGGTTCTGTTTAAGAAGGAAACTGGGCATGTCGTTGCAGTCCATATCATTGGTCTTCACGCTGCCGACTTGATTCAAGAATGTGCCAACGCTGTTGCCGCAGGAACCACCGTTCAAGAACTCAGTATGATGGTCCATACACACCCCACCCTTTCGGAAGTGATGGACGAGGCCTTCAAGGGAGCCGTCGGCATGTCTTCCCACTAGTGATAACACTTTGAAACAAAGCTAACWCATCAAATCGTGGTAAACTCAAGATAATTTGCGTTCATTAGTTGAAAGTTAGTGACAGGCTGTGATCTAAAAATCGACCTTACAACTATCATTGTTGAAATCGTTTTGAGACGGAAAGCGCATGAGAGAATGCATGTCATCTCGTTTATCACGGATGCCCAAGCTACGCAGTATGTGACAGCAACTGGAGGGTAATCGTGTCCTACCAAGTTAATCTATGGCAGCAACAATTCTCTTTCGATTCACCAGATACTTCTTTGTGGTTATTCTGCAACCAACAGTACAGCTTTTCTTTAATCAAATTATTAGTATATTAAGTAAATAACCTTTGTGTATGAACCGAGAGAAGAATTTTAAGTTCTCTTCTAAGCATATTTTTCTGTCAACACAATGAAGAAGGAGCAATTAGACCATCGTCCCTCTGGCGAAGTAGATGTGATCGTTGTCCCTTTCTCGCTTTAAAGCAACACAAAATGATTCGAATCGTCTTCGAAACCTCGCAATCCCTTTTTCTCCGATGATGATTAAGCTACCTTTTCGATCAAAAGATTGACAATAGATGGGTCAGCCAGAGTACTAGTATCACCGAGACTATCTGTTTCACCACACACAATCTTGCGCAGAATACGTCTCATGATCTTTCCTGACCGCGTCATGGGCAGACTTGGTGACACAATGATCATATCAGGGCTACAAAACCCCCCGATCTCGCTTCGGACGGACGCACGTAGTTCTTTGATAAGTTCCTGAGATTCTTCGAATCCTGCAGTAAGCATGACAAAGGCGCAAATAGACTGGCCCTTAATGTCATGGGGCTTACCAACCACAGCAGCTTGTGCGACAGCTGGATGAGCAACTAAGGCGGATTCAACCTCAGCTGTTCCAATGCGATGTCCACTCACATTCATTACATCATCCATTCGTCCAATAATAAAGTGATAACCATCCGAATCCCGAGACACGGTATCTCCTGTGAAGTAGTATCCGGGATAAGGTTTGTAGTAAACCGTGAGAAACCTTCCATGGTCACCAAGACACGTACGCGCCATACCTGGCCAAGGTTGTTTCAGGGCCATGACACCATGGAAATTTCCGTTTTCGTCAGGTTCAGTTAGTTCCTTGCCAGTAGTAGGGCACAGTACTGCTGTGTCAATCCCATAAAAAGGCAAAGTACAAGATCCTGGTTTCATAGGTGTAATCCCTGGTAAATTCGTAATGATGTGTCCACCTGTCTCAGTCTGCCAATAGGTATCCACGACCGTGCAGTTTGACTTTCCGACGACTTCGTAATACCAGCGCCAAGCTTCGGGATTGATTGGTTCACCAACAGATCCAAGTACTTTGAGGCTGCTCAAATCGTATTTCTTCACAGGTTCGTCTCCGGAACGCATCAAAAGTCTAATGGCAGTCGGGGCTGTGTAAAATTGTGTAATTTTATGACGCTGGACCATATCCCAATACCTTCCTTCATCTGGGTACACAGGTGTAGATTCGAACATGAAGGAAGTGCTACCATTTAAGAGTGGCCCGTACACAACATCTGTTGCATCGCATAGTTTTGTATATTGCAGGACAACAACAACAACAACAGGGGAGTGTAAGACGGAGAAACAAATAACGAGAWCAACGAAAAAAATTCACCATCTCATTAACCAAATACCCAAATACAAGTACCATCAACCCATTACTGCTACGTACAAGTGTGTCCAGTGATCCACCCACAATCAGCTACACATGCGAAGATATCGCCTGGTGCCAGGTCAAAAGTAATCTGGGTCGTCATTTTAGCATACAAAGCGTACCCGCCGGTTGTATGCACTAGTCCCTTGGGATTACCAGTGCTACCCGATGTGTACAGAATGAACAAGTTGTCTTCAGCATCCATGTGAGCCGGCGGGCAGTAGGGACGTTGGGCCGACACCAAAAGATCCATTCTGATATCTTTCTTCTTCATTTCATAGGGAGCAGATGATTCCGCACCATCGTAGAAGCGTTCCCAGACCATGACGTGCTCAACGATGGAATCACAATCCAATTTGGTCAAGGCGTTATTGACAATTTCCTTGAGAGCAATGGTCTTGCCACCCCGGCGACCAACATCAGCCGTAATCAAATGTTTTGACTTGGCCGCCGAAATTCGTTGCCCAAGAGCCTCGGCCGAGAAGCCAGCGAAGACGACCGAGTGGACTGCGCCAATCCGAGTACTTAATTTTTAGGAAGTAGAGAATATAGCAGTACCTATRTMTTAGTGAATTGGAAAAATAAATATGGATCCATTTTTTAATGAGATTTGAAGGCATGTGGCTGTAGCAATTGACTTACCATGCGAGCATCGTCATACTCAATTCAGGGATCATAGGCATGTAAATGGTKACAATCTGACGGTCGGTTGATTGAACATTTCATTGAATCGAATCGCAATGCCACAGAAAAGACAACAAGAACATTAGTTCTCATTTTTTACTGATAGGATATACGAGATACATTGAACGATACAGTCAAGAACACTTCTAAGAATGACCATCAAATCACCGGACATGTACTTGTCCTCGTGCTTATACTTACATCTCCCTTTTGAACGCCCAAGCGAACCATAGCGTTCGCAATTTGACAAGTTTTGCGGAGGACTTCGTCATATGTCAACTTTCGAACATCGGTGGGCTCGTCACCCTCCCAAATCAAGGCGAGGTCATTAGAGGAATCACTGTTTACATGACGATCCAAAGCGTTATAACTGAGATTTAGTTTGCCTCCTTCAAACCATCGAACGTCGCCGTGTTCAAATCCTCCATCGAGAACCTTGTCGAAAGGCCGGAACCAATCAATGTGGTCTCTACCGGCTTTCCCCCAAAAATCTGTCGGGTTTTCGATCGATTGTTTGTGAAGCGTTTTGTACTGATCAAGACTAATGTCTGGCTTCGCCGGGATAACTTGAGTGGCATTTTCTACGAGAGATTCGGGTTGCTCTTTTGTCGACGACATAGTACAGTGCTAATGTTTTCCTTCTTCGAGTATATGTGGACACAATTTGTTCACGATGTGATCACAATGGTAACGAATGTTGCTACTACTAATATTCCGAATGAACAGCCTTCGTTTGTTGAATAATCTTTTGACCTCGTCTCCTTTTTTTCAGTAGTTCTTCCACGCTACCCTTCTGCAGATCTCACGCTCGCTTTAGCGSTTTTAACTACGTACTAGGGCCTCTTGTTGATGATACGGGTGCGTACCGTACTTCGTAGTACAAAATTCAAGAAAAAGATATTACTGTACCGTACTGTAAGCTGCAATGCTGGATGAGGAGTACTACGTACAGTATATACGTACGCTACGGTAGGGAAAAACGAGTTCTCATTTCAAGATTCAAGACAGAAACGATGACTTTGTACTGAACTACGAGTTTCATAACAACTGAAACCGGACTCCGCCAGAGAGCAAAAAGTATTGATTGGAAGTTTTAAAACTTCAATTTGAAGTTATGAACTTTTGCTCCTACATGATGTACCAGGAGAGGGACCGAAGGGACCATTTTTTTAATATTTTTGCGCGATCCGCGCGTTTTTAACGGTATTTATGTAAAAATAACGGTTTATTTTCTAATCTAGTGTACTTCAATTAGGG